CTGTCTGATTCATTCTCTTCAAAACAGCTTCCGTCCAAAAGGAAAACGCAAGCCACATTCACTTTGCAGGGAAACTGAGGTGTGTACGGTTGAGACAGGCATTGCACATGCTCAGTTGATAGTTTGATGAATAAGTGTTCAGGAGGGTTGCAGGGACAGAGGAAGCGAATGAGCATTGCACGCTGGGCGAAGATATCCCCATCGCCTCACTGGTGTGTGCAGCAACATGCAAATGTGCCTTGAAGCACAGCGTGGGGAAAATGACCTCGTTGCGTTTCAAGCCGCTAATAGCCTAGATTTGGCAGAAACGGACCAATTAGCAGAAACAATTCACGAAGAGAGGTTTGCAACATTCAATTAATGTAGCAGATAAATGGATGGACTTTATATTTTACTGGAATATGTGTAGTGGTCGTATTAGGTTGGACAGAAGCCTGGCTTTATTTGTTTTCTTTGTAATCGGCACTGTTATTCCTCATTTTGTTTCTTGTGCCTTATTTCTCTCTCAGGGAAGTTTAGCTGGCGCCTTCTTTATACACCTTTAGGCGCCAGGCCAAAGCATTCCTCTTTAACCAAGCCCTGGGCTGATTGACGTCCGATGCCCTTTTAAACTGTCTTGGGGAGGGGGGATTATTGGGTTTTCCTTTTTCTTGTTTTTATCACGTATTCTGTGTTTTTATATTGTGATTAACTACCCTGAGACCTGCGGGTATAGGACGCTATACAAATTTAATAAATAATTATAATAAAATAAACTATGTGTTGTGCAACAGTTTTTAAAATACATATACAGTGGTACCTCTGGTTGCGAACAGGATCCATTCTGGAGGCCCGTTCGCAACATGAAAAGAACGCAACCCACAGCAGTACATCTGCACACGCACGGGTTGCAATTCGCTGCATCTGCGCATGCGTGGGACGTCATTTTGCGCTTCTGCATATGCGCGAGTGGCAAAACCCAGAAGTAACCCTTTCTGGTACTTCCAGTTCGCCGTGGGACGTAACCTGAAAGAACGTAATATGAAGCGGATGTAACATGACAGTCATACCTTAGAAGTCAAACGGAATCCATTCCGGAAGCTCCTGCAGTCAATCAGAAGCCGCAGAAGCAGAAGTCCAGTTTCCAAAAATAGTTCGCGAACTGGAACAGTCACTTCCGGGTTCGCAACATTCGGGAGCCAAAACGTTTGGGAAATAAGCTGTTTGACTTCCAAGGTATGACTGTATATTAAAAGCAACTGTTTACATCAGGGCCGTGTGAAATAAAGACTCTCCCTGAGAATTAGAGACAGTGGAGCCTAAAGGAAGAAAGGATGAAGAGAGACAGATCAGGGCTTCTCTCTTTGTCCCCAAAGCAGACTTCCAGCAAGTCGTCTTGCAGCAGCTATCGCTCCGTTTGCACACCTTTTCTGTATTTGGGTTGACAAACAGCTGCCGGTATTCCTTGCGGAGTGGGAATAGGCCCTGGGACTCCACTTCCTAATCCTGCACCTCATCTCTTCTCCATCTCCTGTAGCACTGCCACCCCCAAGCCAATAAACGTATCAGGAAAAAGCAATCCAGACCTTTTTGGCATGAATTTGTGCCCTGGACTGCCTGGTTCTTCCTGCAAGGAAAGCACCAGCGGGGTGTGTGCGTGCGTTTTTAGGGCCAAGTACATCCTGGCAGCCTAACTCATCATGCATAATCGCTTCTCATCATTTCTCCTGCTGGCTCCTGCCTCAAGGTGGTTGCTGCCTCGGGTGATAAAAGGGCAACGATCCAGGAATACTTCACTGTGAGATGACTCAGGAGGAGTGATCCCAAGGCTGTACATGGTTGCATGCCACCCCCAATCTCTGAGCCGTGTGTGATTCCAGCTCTTGGAGCTGTTTCCTTTTGGAAAAAATGAGGCACAGTGCAGATAGTGGTGTCTTTGTGATACAGTGGTACCTCGGGTTACAGACGCTTCAGGTTACAGACTCTGCAACCCAGAAATAGTACCTCGAGTTAAGAACTTTGCTTCAGGATCAGAACAGAAATTGCGCGGCAGCAGCGGGAGGCCCCATTATCTAAAGTGGTACCTCAGGTTAAGAACAGTTTCAGGTTAAGAATGGACCTCCAGAACGAATTAAGTTCTTAACCCGAGGTACCACTGTATATGGTTTATTTAATAATAATAATAATAATTTATTATTTATACCCCACCCATCTGGCTGGGTTTCCCCAGCCACTCTGGGCGGCTCCCAACAGAATATTAAAAACACGATAAAACATCAAACATTAAAAACTTCCCTAAGCAGGGCTGCCTTCAGATGTCTGTCAAAGTCAGAAAGTTGTTTATTTCCTTGACATCTGATGGGAGGGCGTTCCACAGTCCAAATATTCCTGTAATAATTCCAAAAGAATAACTCTTTATGTGTATACTTGTTGCTGGTGCAATTCCGACGGAACTCCAGTAACAAGATAACTGGATTTCAGTCTCTGTTTTGTGACTCTTCTTCTGTTTGGACCGAAAAGGAACTATGCAATGGCAATTCAATTAGGGCTGCCATACATCTGGAATTTCCCAGACATAGCTGGGATTCATTTGTTAAAAATGGCATCCGGGCTGAATTTTCTAAAAGTGGTTAAAATGTTTGGGGAAACCAAGGCATATGGCAGCTCATATCAGATGTTTTTGGGTGAATTTCTGGAAAAACAGCTTTAAAACATCTTTTTTTTCCCTTTTGGAGAAAACTCAACAACTTTGGCAAAAAGTCTGGATTTTCAATTCAATGCTCAACCAAATAGGTCAGCTCCAACTTTAGAATGGCACCTTGTTCCTCATCTGGTGGAACGCTCTGTCACAAGAGACTAGGGCCTTGCGGGATGACATCTTTCCGCAGGGCCTGCAAGACAGAACTGTTCCACCAGGCCTTTGGCCAGGGCACAGTCTGACCCCCTCTCTCCTTCTGTAATCCTCATAGAACTCTAGCCCAATGGTTGCCATTAATTTGACTCTGAATTGATTTTAGAATGAATTGATTTTAGAATGAATTGATTTTAGAATGAATTGATTTTAGAATGTATTTCAATTAATTGATTGTGATTTTATGTAAATGGCATTATTTTTACTATTGTTAGCTGGTCTGAGCCCGGCTTCAGCTGGGGAGGGCGGGATATAAATAAAATTTTAATATTTATTATTTGAATTTTTGTACATTACTGTTAATGAATTTTTGCAAACCATGTGCAGAGATGTTTAGTTTGGGACCGAGAAGCTGTGCGCCCACACAACCCACACCTATCCTGTTGTTTCTCGTCAAATGCTGGCTTTTGTTGTGTTTTTCACCCAGGAAGCTTCGGTCCTCGTTAAGAAGAGGAACGATCTAGCTGCGTTTTAAACGGCTAATGTGCACACAGCCTTATTGTTTGTAGCTGAAATGTGGGTGGGTGCACTCACACGCATTTGGGGGAGGGAGCTTACACAATCCCCGGCCTTGCTTGTTCGTAGAAGTTTCGACTTGTCCGTTCCTCCCCCCCCAACTCCGCACACGAGCTAGAATTCTCCGAATTTTATTGCATTCCTTTCTTCTTCCTTCCCAATAACAGCTCTGCCCTCTGGGCATGCAGTATTCAGGATGAGGCTTGCCCATCTACCTCCCATGCCCTAGATATGTCTACTGAGGGAGGAGAAGGGAGGGGACCATTTTCTTTAGGTGGGGGCTTAGCAGGGATGAGACGGGACGCCGCATGCCTTGTGTGGGGAGCTGTGTGCGTTTTGTGGTGCGGCGATGGGTGGGGGAGACGTTATCACTGCTGACAAACATGGCTTGCTCAGGTTCCTTGGGCCTTAATCAAGGTGTACGGAAGACTTTCTTCTCGCAAAAGCAGATAAATCTCCGGATGTCTCACGCACTAGAACCGAGCCCCAGAACCTGTTGAGTCAAGGATCTGGAATGTGTCGAGTTGAGTGATGAAATGGCTTTTTCTCAGAATGTGCAAAGTGCCTTTCTTTACCGCTGCTCAACCATGGACAGCTTGTATATATATCTGGGACTCTGTGCGGGATCTTCCAGGATGTCCTGAGCAGTGCCGGATTTATGTATAAGCTAAACAAGCTATAGCTTAGGGCCCCACTCTCTTGGGGGCCCCCAAAAAAATTAAAGGAAAAAAAACACCTGGACATACATTTCCAAAATATAAGATAAAAAACAAATCAAATAAAACCTACATACAGCAACAGTGTTTTGTGTTGTGTAGGCTCCTATGATGTAAGTCATGGGCCCCGCCTGCTAGCCTGCTCCCTAAAATATCACTGGTTTGCTCATTTCTGTATATAGGGTGCCTACATTCTGCATGTGCAAATGGCTTGAGATACCTATGAGGTCCATAAATTACCGTACCATATAGGATATATTCAAGACAAAAAACAGCGACAATTTGTTGTTGACGAAGGACAGCTGGATATATAAAGGGCCCCATTACCTTCAATAGCTTAGGGCCTCATCATACCTAAATCCGGCCCTGGTTGTGAGCTCTGGTGGCTTTCATTGTGGAAATTAACCCCTGCTTTCACATTCAGTGCAATGGTTGCCCATCTCTTGGCTGAAAAAAAAAAGATGTGCATTTCCGAGTCACACAGAGCTCTTCACGGCTGTGACTTACCTCCAAACATCTCCGAAATGACATGAGAAATGCCTGGTGGATCAATCCAATGGCTCATTTAGTCTCACATCCTAAGCTTCCACATCTGCTAGGCACTATCAATCTGTACACGCAGCAGCTTAAACTATGCCTTGTGGCCATTTGTGGCTTGTTTGGGTTCTCTAGATGGACATATTTGCATTTGCTTTGTTGCCACTGGCTATTAAGACAGCTGCAATTTTCCCCCCTTAACATTTCTAAACATCGGTCGGTCTTTTCCCCATCACCCGTTTGTCCCATGCTTTCCTTTCATCTGGGGAAGCTGCATAAACAAAACCCAGATATACGAGGAACCATAAATATCCTGTAAATATACAGATGGAGGGGAAGATAAGAAACAGTTGCTGGAGCTGCTATGTTTCTACAGCAAAGGGATAGAGGGACGGAAGGGCGGGGTTTCTCCACCCCACCCTAAACGGCTTGGAAATACAATTGATGAATGTCAGGCAGACAGCAGCTGCTTATGGGATCCTGAGACCCGGAGGCTGGATTCACACAGACGCGCCAGCAGAGGCAAAACCTGAACTCCACGTGGCTTGGTCAGCTCTCTTTCAAAGAAGGTAGTTTGCAATGGGAGAAACCAGCGCCTGAAAGTCTTGCAGGGAAAAGATCATAGAATCACAGAAGGGACCCAAAGAGTCATCTGGTTCAGCCCCTAAAATGCAGGAATCACAGCTAAAGGCTGTTTATTAACTGCAGAATATGTGTAAGCTCTTCTGCGGCAGCCTAGGAGCGGTTTTTCCTCTGATGTAGCTGTGGTCTAAACCACAGAGCCTCTTGGGATTGTTGATCGGAAGGTTGGCAGTTCAAATCCCTGCAACAGTGTGAGCTCCCGTTGCTCGGTCCCTGCTCCTGTCAACCTAGCAGTTCGAAAGCACGTCATGTGCAAGTAGATAAATAGGTACCGCTCCAGTGGGAAGGTAAATGGCGTTTCCGTGCACTGCTCTGGTTTGCCAGAAGCGGCTTAGTCATGCTGGCCACATGACCCGAAAGCTGTCTGCAGACAAACGCCAGCTTCCTCGGCCTATAGAGCGAGATGAGCGCCACAATCTCAGAGTCGTCCGCGACTGGACCTAATGGTCAGGGGCACCTTTACCTTTACTAGCTGCATCCCCTAGTAGAGAGGCAATGTTGGAGAAGACACAAATGTACCCTCAGTATGTTCTATCATATGTGGTGGACCTGTAAAAGGCTAAAAGAGTATTAGGAAATAATTCATAATGAATTGGAAAAAAATATGTTTAAAAGTACTTTCCCCCAAAAACCAGAGTTCTTTTAAAAAGGTAAAGGGACCCCTGACCGTTAAGTCCAGTCGCAAACAACTCTGGGGTTGTGGCGCTCATCTCGTTTTACTGGCCGAGGGAGCCGGCATTTGTCCGCAGACAGTTTTTCCAGGTCATGTGGCCTGCATGACTAGCCGCTTCTGGGGAAACCAGAGCAGCACACGGAAACGCCGTTAACCTTCCCACTGGAGCGGGACCTATTTATCTACTTGCACTTTGACATGCTTTCAAACTGCTAGGTTGGCAGGAGCAGGGACCGAGCAACGGGAGCTCACTCCGTCGTGGGGATTCGAACCGCCAGCCTTCTGATTGGCAAGCCCAAGAGGCTCAGTGGTTTAGACCACAGTGCCACCCACGTCCCTAGAGTCCTTTTAGTTGGGGATAATTCAGACGGAAATTCCCAGATTTCAAAAAAGGTTGTTTATGTATGCCACTACTGTGGCCCATGTTTTGTTAGCCCAAAAATGGAAATGAGCGAAGTCCCAACTAAAGAAGAATGTCAACTTAAGCTGATGGAACATGTGCAGCTCGCGGACCTAACATATAGAATAAGAGAACAAGAAGAACATACAGTGAGAGAATGAGAAAATATGGGAGGGGAGGGATAGAATATTGAACAGTAAAATGACTCACCAATTAATAAAATGAACCAAGAATGGAAGGGAAGGGAAGTCGATGATATGGTTTGTATTCTGTAAAATATTATTGTGTAAACTTGAAAATGGTTTTTAAAAATGAAAGACATTGTCATTCACATGGTGTGGAGTGTGCTGTGTCATGTTATCGATTATGCGCGTGGGGCTTACCTCCCTCCCCCAAATATTTTAATCAAGTTGGCACCTCTGGCTGGAAGATGTGTCAGGAGAGGAAAAGGTTAAGTTGTCCTTCCTACTCACCTTTTCCCCTCTCAGACATAGCCTGCCCCCAGGCTGCTTTTGAGTTAAAGCAAAAGAACAGAACAAAACCACAGAAGAGTGAGTCACCAAACATTTAAGGCGTAGCTTGAGCTTAACAGCTTATGTAGCTCTGACCCTGATGATGAAGAACAGGGAGCCACAATTGTTTCATGCAAAGTGGCCCCGGAGGGCAGTCTTAAGAGGCAACTATTCTGTGGCGCAGTTAGGTATTTTTTTTAGGCTGCAGACATATTGCCGTTTACTCCACTGGTGTTTGAAGCAGAGTACACCTGATGTTATCCACACCGCATAAGTATCCTGTAGCTCCTTGGGGAATCCTCCTGTTTGATGTGCCTTCCCTCACACTTGCTTCCATGCCATTCGAAAATGTGAGCTGCAGTTAAGTTGAGGTGTGTACACTTTGGGTGGCTGTTGCACATGCCCAGATGATAGCTATGGGCAGGCCGTTCCTGGGCAGGCCGGGTCGTCCTCTTGTATACTGGCTGGGACTGACAAGGCACCTGACCCTCACCTGAATCTTGTGGGAAATAATTAGCATCACACATCATGTGATGGAAGTTGCCAAACCAATTAACCAACCAGAAGGATTGCTGTTAATAGCACCAGTTTTCGTATAACTTGATATTGCTGGATAGGTTTTTTTTTAATCTAAAAAACATTTCTAGTTTGCTTTCTGTTGCCACCATGGAACCTTTCTTTATTAGTGCCACTTTGTTTTGTATGATTCCTTGCAAATGAAGGAAAACAACTTTTCTGCTTGTATATGTTGATAACATAATTTCAGTTACTGAGGACAAACAAGATTGTACAAAAACAAGATTGGGTGCAGGCCTGGCCAGCACATAGGCATCCTGACTGTGACAAAGGTGACCTGTGTGCTTGGTTGATTAACAGCTGTTGGGAACTTCAAGGTCCCTGCTCTCCCTTCTTATGGGCTTTGTAGTGGACCTGGAGACTCCAATAGAGAGCATTCCATGTCAAGAAGGAGGGCAAGTGGGCACCCTATCAAATGACAAGGCAGGAGCTACACGGAGCAGGGCCTTTTCACTGGTGGTGCCCATTGTATGCCTCGCTCTCCCCAGATCTGCTCTCTTTTGGCCTGTATTTTGGAGCTTTATAATTTAGGAAAACTTTGGAAGAACTGTTTGACAAGTCTTATCAGCCGCTGACATATGAGTGGATTTTATTTACTGCTATTCTGTGCTTCTGGTGCAGCAGGGTTTACATCAGCATAATAGAGTTGGCCAGGATGCCAGAAGGGATACAATTTAGGAGCTTTCTCCATTATCTGCACCGCAGGGGGTGTTCAGTCAACAGCGCAAAGGCTGAGCTGAAGCATTCCCTGCTGGTTACCTGCTTTCAGCAATAGGAGTCGCTGTTTGGTAGTACCCGATTGGTTAGCTGTCAGATTCCAGAGCTCCCTATTGGTGGCTCTTAGGTAATTCACAAAATACAGAGTCCATTCATAAAACACAGTGTTCATTCATAAAGCAGTAACATAAATCTCCATTGCTACATATTGGGTGTATATTTCAGCGGTTGAACGTACAAGTTTATGGCCATGCTGTAGTGTAGTGCCGATTTATCCCAATAAACACATTTTTATATGCAGTTTTAACTAATGTATGAATTCTTGCATATTTGCCCGTTATTTCCACCAATATATTAATACACACCTCCTGAATATGTGTGCATTTTTGTAAACATTTGTTGGTCGATGAGCTATATCAGAAAAAACCAAATAAGTACAAATCTTGAAGGATATTTTTTTTTTTTTTTTGGTATTGTTTCAGAAAGAGTGAATTTGATAGGCTTGGCTCCCAATGAGTCCTGAATCAAATTTTTCTCCCATGCCCGTTCCCTGCTTTGAATCTGACTCAATGGTTTTGAGAAACTACCACCACTCATCTTTAGTTTTCCCACTGCAGGGTTGAAGAAATAACACTTCATCTACCTGACAGGGTTGTTGTAAAGATTGAAATAACATAATGCATGTGAATACTTGAATATTTAAATGCATGATGGAAATGCCAAATCTTACTACTATTCCTGTCATCGACCCAGGATTATTTATTATTATTATTATTATTATTAATAATAATAATAATAATACCTCACCCACCCTCCTGGGTTTCCCCAGCCACTCTGGGTGGCTTCCAACAGATTAAAAACAGAATAAAACTTCCTTAAACAGGGCTGCCTTCAGATGTCTTCTACAAGTCAGATAGTTGTTTATTTCCTTGACATCTGATGGGAAGGCGTTTCACAGGGCGGGCACCACTACCGAGAAGGCCCTCTGCCTGGTTCCCTGTCACCTCACTTCTCGCAGGGAGGGAACCACCAGAAGACCCTCGGAGCTGGACCTCAGTGTCTGGGCTGAATGATGGGGGTGGAGACGCTCCTTCAGGTATACTGGGCCAAGGCTGTTTAGTCGACATCAACACTTGAATGGTTGTTTTGCACTGGATAGGCTAATCTAATCGGCTGGCAAAGGAACATATTAGCTGAGCAGCTTGCAAAATCTCAGTTCTGCACGGTTTAGCAACCCAGATTTAGAAAAGGTCCTTAACTGATACTTGGAAAAGCTGATACTCTTGCAAGGCAGCCAAGTCTGTAAACAGCTCAATTCATTTTAATATGGGATACATTAGAACCGGCAAGCTCCTATTCAAAATAAGAGAGTTGATCGCTTTGTGCAAAGGTGGGAGCAGACTAGGCTGAGGTGCAATGGTAACTGGACAGATATTTCAGGATAGTAAAGAGTCAGATTTGGTTGTTTCCTGGAACTTCATTTAAGGATCTGATATTTATTTAGAAAGGCACTCATTTATTTATTTTTATTTAGCATGTTCCATTCAGTAAACACAACAATAAAGTATAATAAAGTCACCCTGCTGAGAAATGAGGGAAGGAAGTGCATCAAATAGAGGAATCTACAGAGGAAAGAGGGGAGTAGTTTTTAAGCATCATGTAGCACAGGGGTCAGCAAGGCTTACCTTGCCTGGGCCGGTTCACTGCCACGGGGCCCCCTCCATGGGCTGGATCACGTGTGCGCATGAGCGCGCATGCCTGTGATTTCCTGCGTCTGCACAGACACGATTTCCAGTGCCGCGAAAGCGAGTCCCCGCGCTGTGTTGCGCCAGTTTAGCGCAGCGCGCAGGGACTTGCCAAGCGGGCAGCTCGGTTAGGGGGCTGCTTGTGAGTCGGTAAAACGACCCCCATGGGCTGCTTGTGGCCCATATGCCTTAGGCTGCCAACCCCTGATGTAGCACAAAAAGTAACACAGCATAGATTAAAACGACTGAAAAATCTAAGAGAGGTATTCTTGTATGCAACTGCAGCGGCTCGAATACTTGTGGCCAAGGGATGGAAAGATCACGAGGCTCCAAAAATAACAGATTGGCAAATCAAATTACAGGAATTGGTGGAGATGGCTCAATTGACTAGAAAACTCAGAGGAAACTCAAAGCAAAAATTTGCGGGAAAATGGGATGATTATAGAAGATATGTTCATAGTTTTGACTCCGTGCTAGCATTCGAGTGGCAAAGGAAGTAAAAGGAGGTGGATAACAATTAAGGATTTATCATGTTTTCAGAAAGTATTGTAAAATTTATATAGAAAGGTTTATTGTTTTGTGTACATTCGATTGTAAGATAAAACATATGCGAAGCGACTTGACCGGAAGTCAAAATTGAAGAAAAGTTTTTGCAAGATAAAAGGGGGGAAATATTTACTTTCATTATTATCATTTTGTGTGTGTGTGTGTGTGTGTGTGTCTGTACATATGTGTGTTTTGTATGGAATGTTTAGGAGGAAATAAGACGGTAAATAACCAATAACAAACTAAATATTGATGTATGTAATTTTTATTTCTCAGTTATATTTAGTGGTAGTATGGTTGTAATCAGCCCTGAATGCTCACTGGAAGGACAGATTGTGAAGCTGAGGCTCCAATACTTTGGCCACCTCATGAGAAGAGAAGACTCCCTGGAAGAGACCCTGATGTTGGGAAAGATGGAGGGCACAAGGAGAAGGGGACAACAGAGGACGAGATGGTTGGACAGTGTTCTCGAAGCTACCAGCATGAGTTTGACCAAACTGCAGGAGGCAGTGGAAGACAGAAGTGCCTGGCGTGCTCTGGTCCATGGGGTCACGAAGAGTCGGACACGACTAAACGACTAAACAACAACAACAACAAATGGTTGTAATGTTTTTTTGTAACATAAAATCATTCAATAAAAATTATTTATTAAAAAACAAAACAAAAAGTAACACAGCATAGATTAAACGACTGTTCTCACAGTCATTCTCGGAGACAGTCCTTTAAGAGAATCTGACAAGTCTCTTTGCAAGGAGGGAGGCAGGCTTTGGTGACTGGATAAGACTGGCTGGGCAGGGGAGGGGCGTGCACTCTGCACAAGCTCAGAGGCACTCTTGCCCGGTGTTCCAAAACCAGCCCAGTGAAGCCTTTTGCTCCTTAGTGGCTGCTGAACCAGCGACTCCAAAGACAAATGCCAACCCCAGATCTCTAGGATTAGCACTCTCTGCAGGGTGGTTCGGGGAGTGGAAAGGAAGGTGACGAGTCCTGGCTGATGATAAGCTCAGGCACGTCCTGTCCTGGGCAAGGTCCGGGCCACATCCAGCCAGAGAAGGGAAGTGACTCACGCCGGTTCCAGGGCCGTGCGTTCTGGACACAGCGTCGACTTTCCTTTTCAGGAGGAAATTTATTCATCGCCCGACATGAAAAGCAAACCGGGGCGGGGCACTGCCGTCCAAGTTGCCGTGGGCAAAGGGGGGGGTCAGGGTGGATCAGAAGGGATATTGAAAAGAGGCTGTTTGCATTGGCTCATCTTGGCCCGCCTGCCTGCCTGCCTGCCTGCCTGCAGGAACAAGTGCACTGTGCTTTGTGGGGCTGCGCAAGGCTTGGCAAGTCTCCAAGGGCTGGAAGGTTCAGCTCTTTGACGTCTCCTCCGCCGCTCAGGTGCGGTTACAACCCATCCCCGCCTCTCCAGGCCGTTGACTTTTGAAGCAAGAGAGGGAGAGGGAGGGAGGGAGGGTGCGACCCACCTGTGATTATGGCCAGGGCACCGCCAGCCAAAGTGCAGTCATGTAATTACACCCATGTATTGTCTGCACTGCACTAAACCGGAGGCCTAGCCTTTTCGCAAGCAACCAGACTGGGCCATTTTCAGGCTGTAGAGGAGGACTTATGAAAACTGGTTGCTCAGCAGTACCAGAATGCACACACGTACAACCCCTCACTAATTAAATTAGCATGTCTGTGGGGGCGGCGAGGCTACTGCCCTTCGGCCCGTAATGCAGTTTTATATGTAAGAGGGATTAAAAAAAAATAAAATGGTATAGACTAGAGGGCACCTCTGCACCGTAAGTTTAAAAAACTGTTGTAACACTTATAAGTGTCACGGCCATGGTGATTTAACCACCAGTCCCTCTTCCTGGTGAATTTTGTGAGGGGTTGCCTACTAACAGCTCTCAGCACCCTTAACAAATACAGCTCCCAATATTATTCGGGGAGAGCATGTACTATGATACGGAGTGAATTTTGCAACAACAAAGTTTGCTAGTGGAGAATTTTCAGTGACTGACCGCAAGATGCAGTTCCCAGGGTTTTTTGGTTTTCAAATGTAATCCATTCCGGAAGACCGTTCAACTTCTGAAACGTTCGAAAACTGAGATGCAAAGGGCGGTCTGCAGTTTCAATGGAGAAAATTTGGGGGGGGGGGGGGACTCAGCGGAAGCAGTTTGACTTCCGAAAAGCATTGAAAAATGGAAGCAATTACTTCCGGTTTTTCGGCGTTCAGAAACCAAAACGTTCAGCTTCCGAGATGCTCAAAAACCGAGGTACCACTGTATAAATAATGTAAGATGTTCCACTCTGGAGGTCGCATGGAGACTTACACCAGTTTGCAATACAGTGGTACCTTGGTTCTCAAACGCCTTGGTATTCAAACAATTTGGAACGCAAACACTGCAAACCCGGAAGTAAGTGTTCCAGTTTGCGAACCTTTTTCGGAAGCCGAACGTGCTCCGTTTTGAGTGTTATGCTTCCGATTTGAGTGTCACGCTTATGTTTTGAGGGCTACACTGAGCTCTCTTTTTTTGCTATTCATTTTGCGTTTTTCTTGTTTTTGTGGCTCTTTTTGTTTTGTTGTGGTGACTGTGTGGAACCCAGTTCACCTACCGATTGATTGATTGTGTGACTGCAGTACATTGTTTATTGCTTTCATTTAATGGACCAATGGTCTCGTTAGATAGTAAAATTCATGTTAAATTGCTGTTTTAGGGGTTGTTTTTAAAAGTCTGGAACGGATTAATCCATTTTGCATTACTTTCTATGGGAAAGCGCACCTTGGTTTTGGAATGCTTTGGTTTTGGAATGGACTAGGTTTGAGAACCAAGGTAACACTGTATTTGTGTTTATTTCCAAATTTATAGGTTGAGCGTAGGTGGAAGAACAGCATTAAATACCCCAGCAGGCACCCCAAATCCACTATTAGATCTTCACAGAGAACAGCCAACATGCTCCGAAATTGTTTCAGAGTCCTCACAGCCCAGCTCTTTCTTCCTTCAGTCTATCTTGGTTAGGGTGACCCACAGAGGAACATTCGAAGACATAGTATATATATTTAGGACTCACCTTAAATTTTGTGATCTGTAGGCCCCTCAATTCTGATGATGCTTCTTGCCCGCTTGGATGGAAGATGGAGAGGCATGTGAAGTGTGTACAGATACAAAGGTAAAGTTGACATTCATTGCTCACCCTGCTTTGACTTCTGGCCCTGCCAACTTCTAGCGTGTGGCCCCTGGGAGGTTGCTGAGAAAGTTGTGCGGCCCTCAGACTCCCCACTTCTGTTCTATGCAGAAAACATGTGCTTTGCTGTGGGGTCTTCTCTGCCATGCCAGCCCCCTTCACCGCCCCTACAAGTGCTCTGAATGGTGTCCATCCTAGTCCCAGATGAAGGAATTTCTTAAATTGATTTTTCTTTTTTGTCCTATTTGTTTCCTCTCTTCTTACCTTCCAGTTCCTTTCGAAAGCTTGCGGAACGCCTGCGAAGGTCTGGCCCAGCCGTTTTACCCTTAACACACCCATTGAGCCAGGCAAATATTTAGAGAGCTAATCGGAGATAAGGAAGCTCCTGGCAGCCTTCAAGGGCCCTCAGGGCAGTATTGGGCCTCCTCCAGTTTGGGCTGGGCTGTATTTGCACCTATGAAATTCCTAAGATGCCGTCCCTTTTTCTTCTCGTCCCCTCCAGCAACTGGGGGGAGCTGAAGGTAGACTTCTCTGGGCTCCGTTTCAGGGGGTCTGAGACAGCGACACATAAAACCTTAGGGCTGTCAAATTTCAAAAAGTAAAAACCCGAACACCCCGAAAAATCGTGATTTTTCAAGTGGCAAAGCACTGCCTTTCAGAAATCCCACCGGATGTCAATTCTGCTTTTGAAATCCCAGTAATGTCTGGGGAAATCTGGATGTACAGCAGCCCTACTGTCTCTTGGCAAGCCGATTTTGGACAGTGTTTGTTGTTTTATTTTTCGTTTTCATTTTGGGGGGCAATTGCATAATTGTTGCACATTACAGTGGTACCTCTGGATGCAAACGGGATCTGTTCTGGAGCCCCGTTTGCATCTTGCAGCAAACACAACCCACGTCTGCTCATGCACGGGTTGCGATTTGCCACTTCCACGCATGCGTGTGACATCATTTTGAGCGTCTGCGCATGCGCGAGCGGCGAAACCCGGAAGTAACACGCTCCGTTACTTCCGGGTCGCCATGGAGCGCAACCCTAATATGCTTAACCTGAAGCTACTTCAACCCAAGGTATGACTGTATATGTTTTAATTAAAAAAAAGCAAGCACTTGCCATTTCAGAAATCCCTAAACAGCACACAGTAGGAACATAAGAAATTCCCTTATAGTGAGTGATGAGATTCCTGCATTGCAGGGGGTTGGACTAGATGACCACTGGGGTCCCTTCCAACTCTACAATTCTATGATTCTATGGTTCAGACCCACTGCTCCATTTTTTTAAAAAAACGTATTATTTATTAAAGATTTATTGTATTACAAAATTATGTGCAATGTCTCCTTTTTCAAGTTACATTGTCTACAGATCAGTTTCATTTGTTGAAACATTAGTGTTACATTAGGAAGAAAAGGGGGAAAGAGATGGAGGGGACCATGGCGAGTGTCCCTAGACATCCTCAAAGCTTTTGATTGCTTAGAGTGGAAATACCTATTAGCAGTACTAATTAACATGAAATTGGGCCCCAACTTCCGACAAACCTCATTGCTCCATTTTGATCAGTCTTGTTTACACTGACTGGTAGCAGTTTTCCGGGGTTTCAGACAGGAATTTTCTCCCAACCCTGCCTGGAGATGTTGGGTACATTGAACCCGCATTCTTCTGCATGCAAAGCACCAGACCCTCCACCACTGGAGTCCTCCCAAAATAATTAAAGCAAAGATGCAAACAATAAACAATGAAGCATCAGTATAAAAAGACTTAAAAACAAGGAAAGCAGACACCCGTGCATTCAATGCCCTCCCAGCACTGGTGTCACAGCAGCGTACCTGGGCAGGTAGGACAGTCAAGGTTCAGCAGGTGCATTGGGAGGAACACTGCCAGTGTCCCCATGCAGTCACTGATACCCTGCCCCACCTCACTCCACCCTAGTCCAGGTGAGCTGATGGTTCATCCCTCAAAGTTTCTTGCAGGAGTAGATAAAATAAAATGCTGCATCAGCAAAAAGGAGGACAGAAGAGACAGATTCTGCATAAAATTGGCACATAGGTGAAGGTAAAGGAACCCCTGACCGTTAGGTCCAGTAGCGGATGACTCTGGGGTTGCGGCGCTCATCTCACTTTACTAGCCAAGGGAGCTTGCTACAGCTTCCAGGTCATGTGGCCAGCATGACTAAGCCGCTTCTGGAGAACCAGAGCAGCGCATGGAAATGCCATTTACAGTGGTGCCTCGCAAGACGAAATTAATCCGTTCCGTGAGTATCTTCGTCTAGCGGTTTTTTCGTCTTGCGAAGCAACCCTATTAGCGGATTAGCGGATTAGCGCTATTAGCGGTTTAGCGGCTATTAAAGGCTTAGCGGCTTAGCGGCTTAGCTGCTAAAAGGCTATTAAAGGCTTAGCGGCTTAGAAAAGGGGGGGGAGCGAAAAAAAATCTCAAGACTCGCAAGACATTTTCGTCTTGCGAAGCAAGCCCATAGGGAAATTCGTCCTGCGAAGCACATTGAAAAATGGAAAACCCTTTCGTCTAGCGGGTTTTCCGTCTTGCGAGGCATTCGTCTTGTGGGGCACCACTGTACCTTCCTAACGGAGTGGTACCCATTTATCTACTTGCACTTTGATGTGCTTTCCAACTGCTAGGTTGGCAGGAGCTAGGACTGAACAATGGGAGCTCATCCCACTGCGGGGATTCGAACCGCCAACCTTCTGATCGGCAAGCCTTATTGGCGCATGCGAATTTATTATTTAGAGGTGCACATTTGAAAACCGTTACTATAATTTAAACAGAAATGCAATCCTATTTTAACCCTAATAGGAATGCGATCTATCTCATTCTCATCACGTATGGTGTGGATGTGGGAAAATAAAAAATATATTCTGGAATAGTGTTCATGAGCAACTGAAAAAGATGTTTAAAACATCATTTGAGGAAAAACCAGAGGCGTTCCTGTTAGGCATTGTATCAACAGACATCCCCAACAACAAGAAAAATATGCTACAGCTGCTGCCAGAATACTAATAGCCAAAAACTGGAAAGGGGACATTGTCCCATCAATAATGGATTGGCAAAATAAATTATATGAATTTATAGAATTGGCTAGAATGACAGCAGCTATCAGATATCAATCAAATCAGAAACTAAGGAAAGAATGGGAATGCGTAGAAGAATATATGACAAAACATCGTTCTAAAACAAATTTACTGGTATGCATTGACTAAATTTTGTTAAGCTAAGATATCGACAGACGTTTTATGGGGAAAATACAAACAATATACGCAACACAATACAATAAGAAATAAAAACAAAAGAAGCTGTAAAGTGGTGGAGGGAAGTCACAGGTGTAGGAATAAGGAAAATAATATATACATAGAGATTTACATATATAGTACAGTGGTACCTCAGGTTAAGAACTTAATTCGTTTTGGAGGTCCGTTCTTAACCTGAAGCACCACTTTAGCTAAAATGGCCTTCCACTGCTGCTGTGCTGCCGCACGATTTCTGTTCTCATCCTGAAGCAAAGTTCTTAACCCGAGGTACTATTTCTGGGTTAGCGGAGTATGTAACCTGAAGCATCTGTAACCTGAGGTACCATTGTATTGGAAACAATAATAATTTGGAATGTATTGCTAAGAATGTTAAAATGTGTAATTGAATGTAATAAAATTTTGAAAACCACCAAAAAAGAAAAGAAAACTGTTACTGTAATTTAAACAGAAATGCAGTCCTACTCTAACCGTAATAGCAATGTGATCTATCTCATTCTCATGGGGGAAAACTGCGATCAGGTGACCTATGTACCTGCTCCGCTGGTATGTTGCGGGCGACTGGCAATTTCAAGACCCTTGCAAGCTAGACTTTAAGCCAGGCATGAACTGGACAACACTTCAAACAGATGACTGTCTTTCTTCTGCAAAGTAGGATTCATGGTCACCCTGGTTGGGAATGAGGAGTAATGGGTTAAGGCAAAAAGATGCTATAAGCTTTTTCATGTGGGATGAGATTTTCTGAGGCACTCTTTTTTTTAATAGCCATTCTCTATAAAGAAACCACTTAACATAGATTTTAATCCCCTCTCTCTTCACAATGGGCGTTGCTATTCAGGTGAAAGGGAAAGGTCACAAGAGGCTCTGTACAAGGATGGAAGGGGAGATTTGTACAAGGTTTAGGGCTGTAACTACTGACCAAGTCCTCTTTGGAGTGGACTCACAGAAATTAGTAAACCTAATTTACTCAGGCCCACCAATCACCGTGGATCTGCTCCTTGAGTAAGACTAGCATTGAATACAGTACTTTGTTGCTGCTGTTTTAATTGACAGGGAATAGAAATGATGGACCCAACCGTATGCACCATATGCGCAATATATTAATCCATATACAATCTAAAAGTAATCTGTTTGTATGTTGCCAGAGTTACATTTTCTATCTGTTGTATTAGCTTTCCAAAGAATCAATAAGCAAACTGGGAACACAGCTATCCTACAATGTTTGTGCATCCTTCCAAGTTTTGCGAAGCCGCACTCTGACCCCAAAATGTGTACAAAAAAAGTGTACATAGAGGAGAAATGTCCTCAAAAATGTGTATATTGGTGGGAGAAATGTACAAAAGTAATCGCCGTAGGGAGAATTGCTTGCAAAAGCATCTGTACAGTGGTACCTTGGGTTACATACACTTCAGGTTACATACACTTCAGGTTACAGACTCTACTAACCCAGAAATGGTACCTCGGCTTAAGAACTTTACCTCAGGATTAGAACAGAAATTGCACAGCGACGGCGCGGCGGCAGCGGGAGGCCCCATCAGCTAAAGTGGTACCTCAGGTTAAGAACAGTTTCAGGTTAAGAACGGACCTCCAGAATGAATTAAGTTCTTAACCCGAGGTACCACTGTATTTGGCAAAGCGCTGTACAAAACTACACACATTAGGAGAAACACAAGTGAATTTTCATGCAAGCGCCTTCTTTTTTTAAAGGGAAAATTGCAAACTAATGCAGATATGAGATAAAAACTGAAACACTGGGAAAATGAGAATCCAAAAAGGAGGGAAATGCTCATCTTCTGTAAAGGAACGAGCTGGAGTTTGAGAATAACATGTGTGGATAATTTTCAAATATTGGGCGACCTATATTTTGCTCTGATGCTCATAAAGTCTTTCAGCAGCTCTGGGGGAAGAAATAAACAGCTGCAAAACTTGCTCCAGGAAGGGGATCTTGCATTGGGGATGGGGGAATAGGGAGGAAACACCCAAAGATCAATGCGACTTTCCATTTGGAAGGAGGCACACTTATCACAGGGATTATAAAAGCCACTGTGGTTG